CCCCCCCCACAGATTTCTGTTCTTCCACACAGTGTAAAAGCTGAGGCTTTTATTTTGTTGACATTTGCAGACACTTTTATGATGAAGCTCTTATTTTGGTGAACTGTGTCCTAATACTGTTGTTTTGACCAGCTGTATGATGAAGCTTTTATTTTGGCAGGCCGTGTCCTGGTGCTGTTATTTTGATGGGCTGTAGGCTGTATGAAGGAGCTTTTATTTTGGTGGGCCGCATCCTTCTGTTATTTTGACGGGCTGTACATCAGCGGTCTCCAACCTTTTTTGCGCCACGGACCGGTTTATGCCCGACAATATTTTCATGGACCGGCCTTTAAGGTGTCGCAGATAAATACTTTAAAATAAAACTAGTACCGGTACTGAAAAAAAGAAAATTTCTTCATAACACACGTGAAAAGACCCAGGAAAACCGAGTTAACGATAAAAACGATAACAAAATAACGCTGAGAACCGATAAAAACCCTGAAAACTATACATTTCACACCTGAGCCTCAACTCTCACAGCCCGGTGTCAAACGACTCACGGACCGGTCCGAGGCCCGGGGGTTGGGGACCGCTGCTGTACATTGTATGAAGGAAGCTTTTATTTTGGCGGACCATGTCCTGCTGCTGTTATTTAGTGGCCATGTCTGAGTTTGTGTCCTTTAATAATTCAGCGTGAGCTGCTGCTGTTCGAGGTGCGTTTGATTCCACTGCAGGCGTCGCAGCGGTCGGTGCAGTCCTGATCTGAGAGTCTCTGCATCCCTCCCAGGCCTCAGAGTCTTCACTCAGGTGTCACATCAAGGACTCTTTGAAAGCGTCCAGAGTCCAGCAGAGTCCTGCAGGTGTGACTTCAGTCAGCCCGAATCAGCCAATCAGACAGTTCGGAGCATCCGTGTGATGTTCACCTGATTCATGTCAGCTCTATTGATCCCAGATGAGAGAAACGAGCACACACGAGGACTCTGCAGCACCGAGGAATCCAGCTAATGTTCAGACTGTTCACAGCAGTAATGATCGGGTCATTAGCGATCACATTATTGATCAATCGCTTCAGAGCAGCTGAACTCTCAGGCAGCAGCTCGCCTCTGCACTGATTGTTAATGATCAGGTTATTGATCAGTGAGTCACATCAAGGCAGTCACATGACCACATGGTCAAAAGTTCCTCTGCTAAAGAATCCTGCACTAATTACAGCAGAGAAGAAGAAGAGCGCCGTCCGAGGGGGCAATAGTGCACGCTAGTGTTAGCATGCTAACAGGCAGAGTGCTACTTAATCACTCAGACCTGCTGACTGAACAGGAAACTCAACAAAATAAATGCCTGCATGTAGATAGAAGGGGGGAAAGTACAAGTTTATTTTAACAAAATAAAAGCCTCTGTAAGGTTATAACTGAGGGGAAGTCAGTTCTGTTTATTCCTGGTTTCTCATTGGTCAGGACTCTCAGGTAATGGTAGCTGGTACAGGTGTGCAGAATGCTCTGCTCTCTCATTGGCTCTCAGGTGAGTCACGTGTTGAATGTGTTGCAGGTTGGAGGCGGTGCACTGCGGCTGCTTCCCTCTGTGTCCGAAGGCGCTCGTTTACCCCGAGATATTTCCAGGTGAGCACACCTGTGTCTCTGCAGCTTCTTCTTCTGCTGTCCTTAAAGGAGCACACCTGAACTACTACTTGTTCTCTAATGCAGCACAGTACCTGTACTCCACACCTGAGCAGCTCTGTAAGCGGCTGCAGGGACTCTGCAGGAAGCCCGACGTTGCCCGTAGACATATCGTCAAGGTAAGGGCATTTAACCGATTAACTGTGTCGTGCGGTGACGACCTCCTCCGTCAGCATGTGGTTCTGATTCTGCAGGTGGACACCTTGGCCTACTCCTGGGCCGCCCTGAAGCCGCGTTTCCAGGATTTGTTGTCAGCCCCGTGTCCCTGAACACACCGCTGCCGCCATCGCGTCTGACCTGCGGCGCCACTGAGCTCAGCATGAGAGCCAACTCTGAGCCCACGAGTCTGGACTCGTTCTGGTCTCCTCAGACTGGGTTCTTGGAGGAGTTCTGGGCTGGACCCACAAAGAGGCCAATTCTTCCTCCACAGGACTGATCAGACTGGACCAGGTCCTGGTCTTGATCCTGGTTTAACTCTGGGTCCTAGTCCTGATCCTGGACCTGGTCCAGGATTCTGAAGTTTGTTTGTGGTTCTGCTGAAGATGCTGTAAAACTTTTCTGATATGTTTGAAATGGACTCGTTTGTTATTGATAAACATGACATAAAATCAGAATTAACACGATCACACGTTGTGTTGTTATTCAGGTATGGAAGCCCATTTATGCCAAAACACTGAGACAAATAAGAAAAACAAACGTTTATTTATTTGAAGTCATTTCTGAACCGTCACGCAGCCTCTAGCAGAACCGCCGTTATTGATCCGATTGATCGGTGGCAGAGACGCTTCACTTTTAAATTCAGTAAAACCAAAAACCAGCCGCCGTACGTGAGTGAGGCGCTGTGCTCATGTGACACATGCTGTTTGAGAGCCGCGGAGGCCACTGCTTCCTGATTGGATGACACCATCATCACTGCCAAACATTGTCTTGTAAAAACTGTTCTGGTCATGTGATCAACACCCAAACCTGGCCCAGGTGTTGGTCCTGGAAATTCCTTGAGGGGCGGAGCGTCAAAGGTTTAAAGAAAATGAAAGTCGGGTTTATTCTGAACCGCAGAAAGAACCTGAACAGACCCCAGACGAGGCTCCCGCCCTGGAACAGGATGAGAAAAGCTTGGAAACACATCTTTGCTTTTAAAGCCTGAAACATGGCTGTGACGTCGATGGCGGTGGGCTGAGTTTTGACTCGTGAACCTTCACCTGAGACGATCTGGTGATCGCGAACTGATCACGCCGGAGGAAGTGTATAAACCTGATGTGAAAGCAGACAGTGAACGCCTCAGGACTGACGCTCTTCTTCTGTGGTGTAAATGTACGTAGTGACTCTGTTCTGGCTGTCGTGTCTCTAACGAGGTCGGCATGGCGCCGTCACCTTCGAGGACTCGCCCACTAAACGGTTGATGGTGGGCGATGTTCGGCATGTTGGCATGCCATATGTCATCAGTTCCGCGGGCAGAGCGAGCGTGTCATGAATATTCCCGCAGCTTATTACAGAGCCGCGTCCTGACGCTCATCTGCTCTGACACCATCAGCACCGATCACATCAGGACGCCATGCTGCTGTGTCTGACGACAAGGGCGGGGTTTGAACACGCAGGAGCCGACCTCTGAACGGTGTCCTCCGGACCGGACCGGGGTCACAGACCCAGACTGAACACGAGAGGTCAGAGCGAGGCTCCTCAGATCGCTGAGCTTCGGCCCTCATCTGTGAGGTCAGAGGTCACAGGTTTGATTGCTGAGCTGTGGGAAACGCGGTGTCGCTGCCGGCCTGGTTCTGGTCAGCCGCTGAAAACCTCTGCTGTGAATCATGTGACTGGTTTCCTGTGAACAGGTCACGTGATGTGTCAGAATCGACGAAGTCAGTTTGAGCCACAGTTGTGGAACGGCGTTTTCCACTGTCAGTAGAAACAGACTCTAATGTGTCGACAGGTGAAGGAACAATCAGACGTTCACACAACAGCTGACGGCTCACCTCATCCATCTTTTATGTACAGTCTGTGGTTGTTATCAGGCTCATTAACAACCTGTCACCACTTCCTGCGTCAGCCTCGCACCTGAGGCAGGAAGTAACCTCGATCAGCTGACGGACACAGGTAAACTCCAGCTCCTGACATGTTTAATGCAACAGTGATGATGAAGAGTCCCTGTGAGCGTGGGAGCTTTGGCGTGCACAGCTGAGCGGTCGATAAATGAGGCCTCGGGTGTGTGTGAGGAGGAGCGGGACTGAGCGCGCTCAGTGCCAGCCGCAGGGTTGATGTGATCTGGATCACTGTCGTCCCCGCACAGCCCGACAGCTGCGTGAAGATGCCAGCGTGCATTAATTAGCAGCTGATTTTACTGAGCGGGGGTGGGGGGCTGGACCGTGATGCCCCTCCTGGCTGCAGGGCTCCCACTAATTGGATCAGGATCACTGAGTCCTGAAGGATGGCGGGGGATGGCGGGGGAGGCGGGGTGCTACGTGAACGCTTCAGTTTGAGCTTCTGTCTGCTGTCACATGACCTCTTCGTCCCTTTGTCTGTCCTGAGGGTCTGCTGTATTCACCTTCATGCAGGTGTGCTCTCTCAGAGGGCCGCCCCTCCCTGAGCCTGGATTGGCTGTCGGTTTCTTCCTGTTCGAAGGGTGTCTTCCTTCCCACTGTCACTGTGACTCATCCACGGGAGGTCTGAGTGTCAAGTTTCTCTGAATTACCGGAGCTCTCTACAGTATGAAGCACCTTTAAGGAGCCTTGGCTCTAAGGTTCCTCTGTCCTCTGATTGGTCAGTTTTAAAACAGCCTGTTTGGAGTTCCCATGAGCAAACACCGCTTGAACCTCAGAGGAAGATGAGGCAGTGTGCTGGTTCATGTCCCATCATGCTGTGGAGGAAGTGAAGTCACGGGTGAAGCAGGTGACTCTTCTTACCGAACACAGACTGCGACAAAGTGAGAGCTGTGTGTGTGTGTGTGTGTGTGTGTGTGTGTG